CAAATGAGTTCCAAAGTACTTATTCCACATCATGTCTAAAGCAAGCATAGCCTATTTAAACAGTGTTTTGATGTTGGCTGCCCTATTGTTACTTATGTGGAAGAATAATTGGATATACATGAAAAGTGGTTGGCATACATGGTATATTGGAAATTTTGCCCAAAGTCTGAAAATTCTTCATGCTATAAAACCTGCGTAAATCATAATTCTAAAGAATGAAAAAGCTCATCTTTGGGCTCTCATCTCTGATCTTCTTGCTTTCATTCATTGCCTATGTACAAACAAATGCAACTGTCTGTCCATAAATCTGCTCCTGCAATTACTAAAAAAACCCACATTTACCTACAAAATATATGTGTATTATACCCACACACACACAAATGTTATTTAGGACTTACGCAACATCTAATGGCCAGCCTTTTAAAAGAAAGCCTGTACAAGTCCAGACTGCAACCAGACAAGTACCCAATGCAAACAGTCCTAACTCAACGGCAGACCACTCTATTTTTGCCCAGGAAAAAATCTATTTTGGCCTTCAAGGGTTGCAGCGTATTTTCTGGGGGAGAAGCAGGGTTGACCACAGAATAGGTGCAATAAGCTTAGCCAACACTTAGCCCATTTATTGTTATCTATACTCCCCTTTTCAAAAAAATGCAAAACCAAATCACATTGTTGGAAAATAATATTTTCTACCAAATTTCAGTGGAACAATCTTGGGGACTATGAGACCTGTAAAAATGCAACTGCCTTCTGATTTACCTGATTAAACCAAAAGAACTCAAAATGGGGTGCAGTCAAATTGCACGTGACTGTCAAATCTACCAATAGCCCTCTTCGGAGGTTGGATAGTAAAGTATTATTTATCTTTATGAGAATGAAGCATGGCAAGCATCCAACTTGCTCCTATTTCAAACTTCTCGTAAGAAAATGAATGTCCCATTTTGCTTAATCACAGCTTAAATCATCTATATGGCTGTACCTAATGGTTGAAACATAATTTTAGAATTAACTACTTCATATTAGATCGCTAAATAAAGAGAGTAAGTATGGAATGAATAAACAGGTCAACTACACACTGAGATGCATGTTCAGTATTAAAAACCAAGGATACATCCAAGTCTAAAATTATTTTTTCTACAAATAGAATATTCTTTAAATGTTTTACAATTGATCATCTGTTCAAATGCACATCTTTTGAAAACTTACCTATTTGGAGGTGGTTTTGGTTTAGGCATTTTACTTAGAATTGTAGCCATTTCTTTCCTTTCATCAAAGTTTTTCCACTGTTCATACAGTTTCAAAATGACCCTGATTATTTCTAAGATCTAAAAAGAAATGTAGATAAAAAAAGTTGCATGTAGATTTATGGGTAATTGCAATACGTATACACTTCATATAGGAAAGAAAGGTTTGAAAATATTCTGGGATCAGGGAGTTTCTCCTGAAACCATTTGACAGTCCACTATTACTTTTATCCCTTTGAAGAAAAAAATGCAAACTATCCTCAAAACATTTCATAGCTTAATCCCCTGGTTTTGAAATTTTAAAATTCATTTTAGAATGTTCCTTTTTTGTTATGTCATTTTGAATTAACATAGCATTTACTTGGGAGCTAGTACAAACTCAAGATGGACACTTGAATTAGAGCCCTCTCACCCATCCATTCTTAAACCTGTTATTTAGCTACTGGGCTCAGGAACTAAGCAGTGTTTGGACTGGTTAGTTCTCAGGGAGACCACTAGTAAATGCCAGACAGAGGAATTCAGACACATCTTGGAAGAAAGCACTGATAGTATTACTGACAAGCAAACTATATTGTTGCATCCATGCAATCACAAATCAAGCTCAATAAAGAGCATCTTTGCCCCATTAGTACCTAAATAACACATTACTGAACAATTACAGACAGAATGGAAAATCTACAACTTCCATGAAGAAAAGTTTAAATTTGGAGATTTGTCAGTAGCTATCTTAAAGCATACCTAACTGTGTGTCATTTAAGGATTCTTTTGCATATTGTTCAAAATGTTGACATAGCAGCTTATGTTCCAATGGAAATTCCCCAGAACACGTCATCATGCTGTTATGCACTCCCATTATACAGTCA